CTAGATAAACTCCAGTTTGTTCTCCCCAAAAGAAAATTGAAATCCCATCTCTTCATCATCGCTGCCGGACCTCCTTCTTGATGAAGCCATGGTTGAAGAACTAGATTGGAACCGGCTTCGAATAACCCTTTTCACACTACTTTTTTGCCTTTTTTTTTTTTTTTTTTTTTTAAAAGTTAGAATGCCTAGATAAACTCCAATTTCTTCTCCCCAAAAGAAAATTGAAATCCCATCTCTTCATCACAGCTATCGGACCTCCTTCTTGATGAAGCCATGGTTGCTGAACCATTTCCATGCTGGAACCCACTGTCGCCAGGTGTTTTTATGCCACCTTCTTCTCCAGTAAAAAGAAATTGAAATCCCATTTCTTCATCATTGCTACCGGACCTCCTTCTCAATGAAGCCATGGCCGCTGAACCATTTCGATGTTGGAACCCACAGCTGTCAAGTGTTTTCATGCCACCTACTTCTCCAATCTGTTGAACATGTCCCGTGACCTCTCAATCAGGAAACAAATAGAAACCCAAATCATCTTATCCATCTCTTAAACCTAAGTATCTACAAAGTCCAGGGCTTGGCATCAGTCTTTGTCTTCGATTGTCAAATCCCACCTGACTTCCAAAATCATCGCCGGATCCCTTCCACCATAGTGTTTAGCCTCCCAAGTCTAACGATTGTGTTGCTTCCGTGGACGCTCAAGGCCTGAGACGCCAACTTTGTCAATGTCAATCAAGTCCAAATCGAGTTTGATCTCATCTAGGTAAGTTTTGCTCTTCCCCCCCCCCCCCTTAATTTACTTTGATTTATTGCACTTTATTGATTTCTTACCCAGCTTCTATCATAAGGTTGGTTTTGATGTTTTCTGGATTTATGTTATGTGCTGCTATTTTAGCTTCAGTGTAATGTTGATTTGTTTAACTCATGTTTTCTTTTGTTACATCTAAAAAATGCTTGTGTATCTCCCTTGGTTATCTTACTTTTTCCTATTTGGGGAATGCATTTCACTATTTATTATCTGCCATATTTCCAAAATTTTTTGTCAGCTGCATATCAATAAAACTATTGGTTTGCCATTCTGTCATCAAAAGCCTCACTTAAAGTGTCACTTTTGTCTTATATTTCCAATGCATTGGAAATTTACCTTCACCTGCTGATTTCCAATTCTGTCAATTTTATTTTCTCAATTCTTCTTCATAATCTATCTGATAAATATTGGTCATTTGAAAGGTCTCTTCTATATACATATATAATGTTATACCAGTCTCTCTTTTTAGTATCACAGAAGGCATACAGATCCTAATGGCTAATATGTTTGATTTTATTAAAGATCTTAATCCTTCTAAAGAGCAATGGAGGATAAAGGTTAGAGTGATTAGGCTTTGGAAGCAGAAGAATTTTTGGCAACCAAAACTGGATGATAATATTGAAATGCTTCTTTTGGACAAACATGTAAGTATTGAAATGTCTTCTGTAAATTTTTGTTGCTTTCTTACCAACTTTGTGATTCTTTATGCATTCATAATTACAAGTATTTTTGGATTATTGAAATTTAATCTTAAAATTGTAGGTGATGGTGGGGAAATTACAACAATTGATCTCCTTTTTGGCATTTGGTCTAAGGAAAAGATAAAGATCCCACATGCTTGGAATCTTATCTATTTATATTATTTCTTTTATTCATTTTTTTATTTATAGAACATTCCAGTCTTATTAATTATGTATATTTACATATGAAAATGATGAATGTGTCAAAGGAATCAACATTGTATTGAGTAATGATATGTCTGAAGGTACCATTCTTTGTTTTAGAATTCCTCTGTCTCTAATTTCACATACTAGACTTCCTTTGTGTTTATGGTTTTATCTTTAGATTGTAACTCAAAAAATTATTCTGTAGGCTACTTTAATCAAAGACTCAATCTTTACGTTTGATAGTTCGAGCTTCTCATTCTATTGGTGACAAGAATAGGGTGTATAACCCGCTTGGTTTGTCTTTTTTGCCTTTTTTTTTTCTCTCCATTTTCATGTACTTGGGTTTATCATGCTTTCTTGGTACTGTAGTTCAAAATGGGTCTTTGATTTTTGAATTGATTTGAGATTTCAAATGCTAATGAGCGTCAACTATTTGAGTTAATGTCACAAAGAATTATCTTTACTTAAGAAATGAAAGGGCAAACGAGAGAGATGTCTAAATGTTGGCATTTAGTTTTGTAGCACCTTGGATGTTACATTTTAGAGAAATTGAAATTTGCAGCATTGTAATTCTCTAATTCTCAAGGAACATTTGGTGTTTTTAATGTAATATATTTCCCAGTTCCCATTGTTGAGACTTCAGACTTGCCTAGAAGATCAGAGTTCTCAAATCAAAGTTGAGGAGTTAGTGATTTATTTTAAGAAATTGTGTTTTCAAAATGATTATTCTTAAGAATAAGCTACAAGTTTTAACAAAATTTTTTTGCAGATGTTGTTTATTTTTTCAAATCTCTTACATCTTTATCATCCTTTCTCACTTGAAATTAGATATGTTAATTCAAATGGTTTAGGTTTGTTTTCATTGAAAAGATTGAAGATGTAATTCTCTGTGCAGAAATGTTAACACCAACTACCCTGGAATTTGAAGAAGCTAGACAAATCAAATAAGAGGAAATGATCTATGCCTATAATCTATGGGATGATCCTACTCAATCCAATGAAATTCATGTCAAGTTAATGGTAGTGCCAAAGTGGTTCATGCTCTCAAGGACCTAAAATATAGGGTATTTATTTATTTTTATTTTTATTTTTTTGAGATTAGTTTTAGTTGAGCTTTCTTATAACGTTTGCTGATTTTATTTCATAGAAACGAGCATATAGAGTATTGATTTGTATTGGGTTTGTAGGCTAAAGTAGCATGACATAGTTTTGACCTATAATTTTCAGGGCATAGCATCATTTGCTAGGATAATTGAGATTTTAGAAAGGTTTAGTGTTCTTGGGTTTAGCTAAATGATACCCACATGAATACTTGCATTTGCGTACCACCTTTGTTTTAATTTATTAGAATCTAAATATACTTCTAAATGCATGTTAGTTGTACCATTCTAATATTCAGTTCATAACAAAGTTAGAGACAAAGGGATTCTTCAGTATAATTCAATTCATTAGTCTTGATTAAGTTTATATGGGAAATTAGGAGCTTTGCCTATTGAATCTGGTTAGTTTATAACATAATGTTCAAATGCATCTCTGACATCTCTTTAATTTTGGGTTGTTTCTGGAATGGCTGGTGTAAAAGGCTCTATCTAGCTTTTAGCTTTTTTAGTGTCACAAAATTACTTCATACAAAATGCTTAATTGGTTTTAGTTTTGATGCTTCCAGCTTTCCATTTTTTGCAACAATTATTTTACTTTCTTCATCAATTTGTTACATGGCTGTTAAAGAAATGGTGAAGCTATCGTGAAGCTATCATGGTATGAAAGTGCCATCTTATGTAGCATCATTAGTTTAACATGAAGAAATCCCCAAAGATTAACCCTTGAGATATGCATAAGCTTAGGCTTTAGCTTTCTGCTTATACAATTATTATCTTATG